CAGTACTAATTCAAAAGAAACTTGCACTCTCTTGTTTATTGCAGTGCTGTTTGTAATAACCAAATTATGGAAACAACTTACAGATGAGTAAACCAAGAAGTGAAATTTGACTATAAAATATAAAATTTGAAAAATGCTATTTTTATTTCTGATGGGCGTTGGGAAAACTGGACAGCTGCATGCAAAAAAAAATGAAAGTAGGCCATTAGCTCATACCATACACAAAAAAAAATCAAATAAAAATAGATGAAAGACTTGCATGTAAGACCTAAAAGCATAAATACATGGAAGAAAACACTTCATGACATAAGCTTTACTAACATCTTTAGGGAGTCATCCCCAATAGCAAGAAAAACAAAAGAGAACGTAGACAACTGAGACTACGTCAAACTAAAAAGCTTCTGCATAGTGAAAGAAACCATAAATAAAATGAAAAGAAACCCTACTGAGTGGAAGAACATATTTGCACACCATATATTTGACACGGGACTGATATCAAAGTCTACAAAGAATTCATATAAATCAACAAAAAGAAAACAAATAACCCAATCAAAAAATGGGCCAAAGTAATAAACAGACACTTCTCCAAAGAGGACATGCAGATTGCAAACATACAGACCCCTCAAGATGCCACAGAAAAACTAATAAAAACAATCAGTTTAGCAAATGACAGGGTATAAAATCAATATATACAAAATTAGCTGCCTTCCTATATACAAGCAGTGAGTCAGAAGTGGAAGAAATTAAGAAAGTGAGCCTCTTACAATCACACACACACACACACACACACACACACACACACACAATACCTAGGAGTAAATTTAACAAAAGAGGTAAAGGATCTATACAAAGAAAACTACAAATCATTGTTTAAAGATATCAAAGAAGACCCAGCTTATGTTCTTGTTCCCTATCCATATGAGAGTGGGTTTATTTCTGGGGTCATGATTTTATTCCATTGATATGTGCGTGTTTTTGTTCCAGTAGCAGGTGTTTTAATTATTATGGAGTTATAATAGAGTTTGAAATCTGGAAGTTTAATATCTCTATTCTATTATTTACCAGGATTGTTTTAGCTATTTCGGATCTTGTAGTGTTTGTTACAGTTCTTTGAAAAACGGTATTTTATTGGGATTGGATTGTGTCTGAATATTGCTCTGGGTAGGATGACCATTTTGATAATGTTGATTCTTCCAATTATGAATGTGCCTATAAACAAAGGTTAAAACAGTGATCTGAAATTAAAGAATTGGGAACAAAGAAAATATCTAATTATATATAAATTAAAGGATGAATCAATTCATATATATATATACATGTTCAAAGACCATTTTAAATTATGTGAGGAAACAAACATGAAAATATATCCAAGTCTTATTTATTGCTGAATAAATATTGTGAAATAAAGATGTAAAGTATGAATTTATAATATATGAAAATTATAATATGTAATAATTATGTATTATACAATGCAATACCATATATGCATATATGAATACATATACATTTATTTCTCATTTACATTATCAGTTATTCTATTTTCTTTATTTTCCTTATCGATGCTATGTGATTGTTTTTAAATGAGTTTATACTCCTTGAACAGTAAACAAAATAACTTTTAATTGAATTTTAAAAATAAGGTATTTTCATAGTATAATATTGGCAAAAATAAATTTTATACCACCAGAGAGGAACATGTGCAGGTAAATGGGCATTCTTCCATCCAAAGTGTTAGTGGAAGTGTAAATTGGTATATCCAGGCCTCTGCTTTTCAATTTCACGCCTATGTATTTTTGTAAATACAATAATTGTACAGCAAAATTATTCACCACAGTTTTGGGTATTATGGGGAAAATGTAGAAAATACTTTAAAGTCCAAAGTCATGAAGCACTTAAAAAAAGGACCACTTATCCAGTGACAGCGAGTTATAAGTATTCAATAGCCAAAATGTTTTAAATATATTTATGACACATTAAAAAAAGACAGAGCATTTCCTATATTACCCTATATTTGTTTCAAATTTTAAGAATAGGCTAAGTCTGAAAAGGCACAAAATTCTCTCTTTGAAGTGGTTGTGCGTATGTAAATATGTATGTCCACTTTTTCAAGCAGTGCACTTGAAAATGAAATGAAATAAAAAATGTACAAGCCTACCCAATTTAAACCCAATTGAAGATGAAGAATAACGAAGGTATAGATGACCATTAAGATAATTATTGGAGACACTCCTTTTCTTCTGTTCACTTGTCTGATTTGTGGTATTTTCCTGCAATGAAGCTCAATTATTTTCTGACAGCGGGGGACATGGCAGGAGTGAACACAGGGGAGGAAAGCAATAAACAGGATTTAAATCCAGCAAAACAACCAGGACAGAGAAAAATGGGCATACTCTTTAACATAACTTAAAATAATACTAACTTAAGATAAGCAGAGAAATACTCTTACATTGTTGAGGGCATAAGCTTTATGGAAGGAGTATCTGGCAACAGAGTGGCAAAGTATATAAGGCAATATAATATCTCCACATGTTAGCAGATACTCTGCCACTGAAGTGTTATCCATAGAGCTAATCTTACTGAAGAAAAAACCAGCACAATTTAAACATGTATCAAGGGGCTAACATTTAGAAATGATAGCTCATCCATAAAATGGAGTATAAGGTAAAAAGAAAATTAGAGAATATTTAATAATTTGGAAAAATAACACAAATTATAGTGAAAGCATCTCACAACTAAATACATCATATTACACTATGAAGACATTATTATTTAAGCTCATGTGTCATGTGTTTCAAAGAAGTAGAATTAGGAGTGATTTTGACTTTTTTCTATGTTAATTTAAAAGTATCTTTAAAGTATAATGGGTATAAAAATAAATGTTTAAAATAAATAATAACCAAAAAGGAAAAAGTCCTGATAAAATAGTGGGAGAGTACAGAAATGTTTGGAACATCAAGCACACTGCACTGTCCTGGTTTGAGGTTCTTGCACAATACATGTGTACTTGATAAGGGTGACTTGGTACTATCATTGCGGATAGTCATTTAATAACAAACCAAAAAAATTAAAAGATTACAAACCTTTCATATACTTTGACCCTATAATTGTTCATGAGAAATGTGTTCTCAGGAAATAATCCTGATGTAAGCAAAGTTTGTGCAATATGAAATTATAGCAGCTTGGGTTCATAAGAAAAAAAAAAGAGAAGCCACTTAGATGTTTAACAATGAGGAAATAGTGAAAACAAAGACACCCATCTCTACATCTAAATGTAAACATAGATGGGTACATATATTTATCTACTCCTCTTTGAAGGCCATTCATTGGAACACTAAACAGCAATAGACACCATTTTAGAAGAATATTTAATGACATGAAAGGAAGATTAAGAATATCTGTACATCTATATCTATCTATATATTTATGTGTGAAAAAGCAGACACTTTAAGGGTATATACATTAAAATTCACATATATATCAAATGAGAAATATTGGACATGTGAAGATGAAGAATAACAAAGGTATAGATGACCATTAAGATGATTATTGGAGACACTCCTTTTCTTCTGTTCACTTGTCTGATTTGTGGTATTTTCCTGCAATGAAGCTGAATTATTTTCTGACAGTGGGGGACATGGCAGAAGTGAACACAGGGGAGGAAAGCAATAAACAGGATTTAAATCCAGCAAAACCACCAGGACAGAGAAAAAACATTTGCAGCTCATCAGGCTGGCCTACACACACACACACACACACACACACACACACACACACACACACACACACACACACACACACACACACACACACACACACACACACTCTCTCTCTCGCAGTGACCAGGAGACTATGCAGGGGGAATGGGCATACTCTTTTTACTAGCTGCACTGGCGGGCATGAATAGACATCTATACAATGCTTATGATGGGGGCCATTTGGCAAACACGCAGGAAAATTCTTTAAATGTCCACATGTGGACCCTGCAAGTCCACAGTTAAGAAGACCAACGGGTATGCTAGCGAAGATTTGGCTTGGCAAGGAAGTATCCACTCATCAGAGTATGCAGTGTTGGGTTTAAACACAGGGAAAGAACTAGGCACCACCTGAAAGTCCAACAATGCGGGAATGAGTACAGAAATGTTAAGGTCCATGGATACACTCTGCAGGCACTGGAGATATTTTGAAAACCTGTTGAATAACATGGAAAGAAGTTCAATGGTTGATTTTTGTTTGGTTTTAGTTTCTGAAAAAGCAGATTAAGAAACACCACATACACGAACCATTCTAAAACTGTGTTAAAAGGGAAGGTGGGCTGGGGGGCGGGGGCGGGGAGAAGAGAGCCAGGAGAAACAGCACACCCAAAAGGTAAAAGTGGTCGTCTCTGGGTGGTAGGATGATGGGGCGCAGTTACCCTCTTGGTTTCCCTTTATCTAATTTCCTTCTGCTTTCCGGTGTTCCTGCCATGAAATTGTATCACCTGCTCAATACACACAGGGAGAAGGAAGTACATTTTAAACCAAACGAAAGGGAGAGAGGCAGCCTTTAACCTATCAAGTGGCACACATTAGCAAGATTAGTCACAACTCCCTTGGTGAGGGGGTGGGGTGTAGAGGGAAGGAAGGAAGGAAAGAGGAGAGGAGAGGAGAGGAGAGGAGAGGAGAGCAGAGGAGAGGAGAGGAGAGGAGAGGAGAGGAGAGAGGGGGGAGGGGAGGGGGAGGGGGAGAGGAGGGGGAGGGGAGAGGAGAAAGGGGAGGGGAGAGGGGAGGAGGGTAGGGGGGAGGAGAGAGGGAAGTGGTGAGGAGAGGGGAGAAGGGTGGTGGAGGGAGGGGAGAGGGAAGGAGAAGAGAAGGGAGAAGAGGGGAGGGGCATGGGGGAGGGAAGGGAGAGGGAAGGGAGGGGAGGGGAGGGGAGGAGCGGGGGGAGGGGGGGAGGGGGGGAGAGGGCGGGGAGGGGCGGAGGGCAGGGGAGGGCGGGGGAGGAGAGGCGCACTGCCAATACAATACACTGCTGGTGGGTTGTTAAGGGGAACAAAGGGGAGGAAGGGCTGTAAACCGAGTGAGAGCCGCGGTTTGGCTCTGCTGGCTGACTCGCTCCAGGGTTACTGTCTTCATCGCAAGGTGGCCTCCTCGTCGGTGTCTTCCTCGAAATCCTTGACCTCAGCACTGGTGGACTGCCTGGCCCAGGCTCCTCTCTCGGCCTCTCGCTCCTTATGCGACTTGAATCTCCCCACGAAAATTTTGCGGTAGTTGAGGAACATGCCGTTCATCGCATCGATGGCCCGCTCGGCGGACTCCTGCTTCTGGAAGTGCACGAACCCGTAGCCCTTGGGCCCCTTTTCGTCGCAGGCCACTTTGCAGGAGAGGATGTTGCCGAACGCGGAGAAGATGTTGTACAGCGCCTTGTTGTCGATGGTCTTGCCCAGGTTCTTGATGAAGACGTTGCCCACCCCGCTCTTGCGGAGCGAGGGGTCCCGCTGGGACCACATGATGCGCACCGGCCTGCCCTTGATGACATCGAAGTTCAGGGTCTCCAGGGCCCGCTTGGCGTCCACCGGTTGCTGGTAGTTGACGTACGCGTAACCCAGCGAGCGGCGGGTGATCTTGTCCCTGCAGATGCGGATGGAGAGGATGGGCCCGGCGGGGCTGAACTTCTCGTAGAGCATCGCCTCCGTCACCTCGGGGTGCAGGTCGCCCACGTACAGCGAGGCCATGGGAAAGTCTGGGTTCCCCTGGGAGCCCCCGCCCGCCGCCGCCGCCGCCGCCGCATCTGTATCCGCGGCCGCCGCCTCAGCATCCGCATCCGCATTCCCCACGGGGGGCGCCGCAGCCTCTCCCGCTGCGGCGGCGGCGGCGGAGGAGGCGGCGGCGGCGGCCGCGGTCCCGCTGGCCTCCGCCCCCGTCGCGGCCGCTGCCGCCAGGGCGGCCTCCGTCTCCTTCCCGGCCAGAGCGGCCGCCGCCTCCCCCAGGGTGGCCTCCGCCGCCGCCGCCTCTACTGAGGCCTCGGCCTCCGCCTCAGCCTCGGCTTCCGCCTCCGCCACGGAGGCCTCCGCCACCGCCTCCGCCACGGTCGCCGCCGCAGCCTCCGCCGCCGCCGCCGCCGCCGCCACCGCCGCCGCCACGGTCGCCGCTGTCGCCACGGTCGCCGCTGCCGCCGGGCCGCTGCCGCGACCTCCCTTCCCGCAGGCTGGGGCGCGCAGAGGCGGGAGAGGGGGCGGCCGGGGGGGGGGGCGCCGGAACCGGGCCGGGGGCGCGGGGCCGGCGCGGCCGGCGGGTGCCAGTCACCTGGGAGGGCGAGCGCCGCCCGGAGCGCGCGGGTGCGAGTCGCCGCCGCCTGCAGCCGCCGCCGCCGCTCGGTCGTGGGCTGGCGTGCGGGGCGCGGGCGGGCGGCGCGTGGCGGGGGGCGGGGGTGTTGGCGTCTGCGGTCCGGGCAGCTGGGAAGGCTTCGGCGTCTTTGGTTCCCCCTGCGGCTGCCGCGGGGCTGCGGGCTGCGGGCCGCGGGCGGGGGCGGGGGCGGGGTGCGAGGCGTCAGCCGCTCGCGCCGCCCGGGGGTTCGCGGAGCCGCGGCCCGGGCCGGAGCTGCGCGGCGGGCCGAGGGCGCGCGGAGCCTCTCTGGGGAGCTGGCTTTCGGCCCCGCTGCGCCCAGACGACATTCAGGGGGCGCCGTCAAGTTCCTCGCGGGAGGGGGGGGGGGCTCGAGACTGCACCGGCCGGGTCCGAGCGGTGCCGCGAAAAATGGTTTTCTCACGTTCGGGGACCGTCTCCCCCGTGCGCGCGCGCACACGCGCTGGGCGACAGCCCCGCCGCCGAGGAGACCGCTCCTCTGCGGAGCAGGAGCCGGGGCAAGCGGGGCCAGCTCCCCCGCAGCCCGCTGACCCATTTTCCCGGAGAGCCCTTCCCTCACGCCCGCTCTGCGACACTTGCAGAAGAGGGAGGCGAGAGCACAAGGGCATGTTTTCATTCATTCATAACACCACGCCACAAGTATTCGTGGAGACGTGCCAGTCCCCAGGGACACGGGGTTCTGGGAGGCAGGAGAACACAGACCGGTGTTCAGCTGGTTTGGGGGAGCAGACAGTCTGGGCTGGAAACCCGGCCCTACCCCCTACCGTGGCAGAACTGGGGACCTGGTGTTCCTCGCCCTCCCCCTCCAACTCCTCCCCGCCTCAAAGCGCGCAGCCCGGAAGTGGGGGAGTCCAGAGCACCCCGTCCTTAGGTCCTCAGCGCGGTCCTCAATGGGGCGGCGGGGAAAGTCAGACCGAGTGCTGGGCGCACGCCCCGGGCAGAAAGGGGCGCTTGCTCCTCGGTGACGCTGCCTTCAAGGTGCCCAGGTTCCCGACGGGAACCCAGAAAAGCTCGTGCAGAACAAACCCCAAATGTGACATCGCTGTCGTGTGAGATTTCTGGTTCCGGCTCTCCGGGTCATTCCGGGGGACCCCCGACCAGATCCTTGGCGCTGGGACGCCGGGGGCGGGCCACGCGATGAGTGAGCAGTGGCTGTTGATGTGTTGGCGTGGCGGGGCGGGGCGGGGTGGGGGGGAGAAAGGGGAAAGGTGTGTGTTGTGGCCGCAGAGAAGCCATAAGGGGTCAAATGCGGAGGCGACAGACAGGTGCACAGGGGTCAGAGTCCCACGTGGTCCAGAAGGGAGCACCTCCCCGGTGGATTCTTCCCGGCGGGAGTCCGGCGGGCGAGACTGCGCAGATGCAGCTGGCAGGGTGCGCGCTGAAGGCTGAGTGGCGGGTCCAGCGTGCCGGGCAGGACAGAGGCCTTTCAGACAGAGGACTCACCCTGTGACCCAGCCCTGTGGCAGGCTGGCACACCCACGGTCGCCTCTGGTCACGCCCAGTAATCCGGCGTGGACAGAACTCATGGTCTCCGGGACCACGTCGTAGGAGAGGGGGCTGGAAGGCACGTTGAAGTACTGGGACTCTGTGCCCTAGCTCTCTCAGGCACCACTCTGCACTCACGGAGGAGCGCGCTGTGACCGGAACCTTAGAAAGAGGACAAGCTAAGCACCCACACAGAAGCAGCTAAGAGAGTAGCTCTTAAAACGTCTCCTGGGGGGGAGGGGGAGGAGGAATGTGTCACTGTGTGAGGTGACGGGTATTAACTAACTTACCGTGATAATCATTTCGCAGTGTATGCCTGGAGCAAATCTGTGTGCTGTACACACTGAGCTTAAGCAATAACATATGTCAGTTATCGCTCGGCGAACCTGGAGGGGAACCATCAATCCCCATATGAGTGTGTGTGTGTGTGTGTGTGTGTGTGTGTGTGTGTGTGTGTGCGTGCGTGTGTGTGCGCGCGCGCAAAAGAGAGCACGCTGACAGAACAAAAGTAAGCCAGTCGGATGTGACCAGTCCCAAGAGTCAAAACAGCCCTTTCCTCTGTCCCTCCTTGCCTCCCACAAATAGGGGTTCACACTTGCCTTGAGCCAGGAGTGGAACTACGACCTGTGGGGTCAGACAGATAGGAAACAATGGCGAAACCACAGTGCCATCCCTCAGGACATCTTCAGGCCCTCTCTCACTCACGCCCATCCATCCTTATTTGGGCAAAGGAAGGTGTCTTCTCATAGCAGAGTTGGGAGGATCTGGACAGCCCCACGTGACAGGACAGCCCTGAACCCGGGCCGCTGACCCAGTCACCCTGAGACGCAAAGCGGTGAGAACTTGCTCATTGCTGGCTGGGAAGCATCCAAGACGGCAGGCAAGCAGACACGCGGGCACGTACCTTGCAAAGCCCAGCCATCTGCCCGCAGGCGAGGCTGGTGACAGCCGAGGGCACGTTTACAAGGGACAGAGGCTGCGGTCCCAGGCGATCGCCGTCACCACTGTTAGAAGCCATCTGCCGCAGGTCTCGGGTGCTTGTAAGCAGAAGGCAGGTGGCCTGTGCCTCGCCATCCCGGATGGCCATCCAAGAGGACCCCAGGAGCCAGAGACCACGGGGGAGAGCACGGCTGCTGGCGGGCAGGACACGCGGGGCTGATGAGAAGAGCTGCTTTGCTAACACACAGAAATGACAATCGAAGCATCAGGACTTGACAGGATCTTCCTCTGGCCACTGTTGGCTTCCAACCCCCAGAGCCAATAGAAATCGGGGAGACAGCAAGAGAAAGAGCTTGAGGGAAGTCACGCTATGGCCAGCCAGTCCCCAAACCTGAAGACAACCCACAGGCCTTGAACCTCCAGCAACTGCAGCAGGGCTGCTAAAGTGGCAAAGACGGTGCCGAGGGAGGTAGGACACGCGGGGGCCTCCCCCTCACAGGCCTCCCCGGGGCGCCCCTCCACGCCTTTTTGAGTCTGCCTCTGGTCAGTGTCTGGTGCCTGCAATCAAAAGTGTTCTGAGGACTAGGCTCTGGGACCGAGGCAGAGGGTGAAGAGCCCTGGGGCCCAGGGGGTGGGGGAGGGGGGTGGGGTGGTTCCTTCCTCGGGGAGGAGGCACCCTTCATTCCGGTCACTCAATGCCCTGACACGTGTTGGCGGAGGGCCCGCTGTGTAGCAGACACACTTCTAGGCAGAGGTCCCACAAGCAGGGAGCTTGCCTTCTGGAGGGGAAGACAGACAATACGCACATCGCAAAATACAAAGGCACGTGAGGGTCACTCCACGTTCCCTGGGGGAGTAAACGGGGTGCCTGGGTACATACTACCTAGAACCCCAGGGAAGTGGCAAAGCTCTGGGGAGGCCTTTTCTGAGGACAGCGATGAGTGGCCAGGCCTGCCAGAAGCCAGGCGAGGAGTCTGCTCCGCAGAGAGAATGACCAGCAATTCCCCTGGGCCCATGGCAGAAGGGGGGGAGGGCTGGTGGGGCAGAAAGGATGCCAGTGTGGCTGCAGCCCAGTGAGAGAGGGAATGGCAGGAGCAGGGGAAGGTGCAGTGTGGGAAGGAGCCTGCCAAGGAATTGGGCTTGTGCGCAAAGTGCTGCGGGAGCCAGAGAGAGGGCCGAGCCAAGGGGGTGCCATGATCTCTCCTTAGCCATGGTGGCCCCCTGGCTGCTCTGGGTGGAAAACAGGGCAGGCGGGCAGGGCGGAAAGCAGAGCAGGGAGACGCCTGGGAGGCTCAGGCAGAAGTCCGGTTGAGAGATGGCAGGGGCTTGGCCCAGGCTGGCAGCATGGATTTGGAGACTAGCGCGTGGATTCACAAGATACTTTGCAAAGAGGAGAGACCGCGGCTGCCGATGGCTCGAAGGCGGTGGGTGAACAAACGTAAAAAGTGTCACCTTGCTAGTCTTGATCCCGGGGGGGGGGGGGGGGAACATGTTAACATGTGTAACATAGGTAACATGGAGAGTGGGCGTGGTAGATTCAAGAAAGAAGACACTGGGGGTGGGTCTCAAGACCTCTTCTGCACACCTGTTAAATGTCTGAGGTCTTTCTGTCATCCCTGCAGGCTGAAGCAGCGGAATTCTGGAGACAGCAGGAGACCGGGTTGGACACCGTGAGACTGGGCAGGATCACCGAGAGTGTGGTCAGGAGAGGAAGGCGGAGGCCTGTTGCCCGAGACGTGCCCCATACAGATTGGCTTGAGGGTGGCTCGTCAGCAGAAGAGAGTGAGAAGGAGCGAGCCATCAACGGGCTCGGCCGGCAACAGGCTCGGCCGGCCGCAGACCTGACCTTTCCCCCAGGCCTGTGTGGTCGAGCCTCAGTGTCTGTCTTCATTCAGGTCCTGGGCTCAGTGCTCCTGGTGGCACATTCACGGGGTGGGGGTGGGGGGCGGTTG